TAATTAATACTTTTAATTTATTTAATATTATAATTTTTATTTAATTAAAATAATATAATAATTTCATATAATTAATTTTATTATTATTATTTAATTAAATGATATTATTCATTTTATATATATATTTATTAATCATTTTATTCTATTATAATAAATTAATTTATTTATTTACTGATTATAATTTTATTTAATAAAGAGGACAAGTTTACATATCATAAAAAGCTTTTCCTTTTATGAAATAAGTTCATTAAGCTTCTGAAGAGCTAATATATTAGCATTTTTAATACAATAAATTATTTAATCGTTTGTATTAAATTTGAAATTAATATACACATTTAATAATATTATATTAGTTCTAAACATGTTCGGAGAACATGATTATGCAATTTCTTATGTATCAAAAATGAAATTATTGTCTTAATAGAAGGGTTCAACGAATTATGATACGCATCATTCACTATAGCACAAAGTCTTCATGTTTATATCAATGCTATGCCAAATGAGTTCATATTTTGTAAAATGAAGCATAACATGAAATGTTTATAATGAACCTTCTTTTTTATTTGAAAAAGAATATATCATATTATTGTATCTAATTTGAACATTCTTGCAGAATTATTGAATATTCTTCAATTCAGTGGGACAAGAATAATCTTTAGAGAATGTTTTTCAGCAGAATAGCTGCACTTTTTTCAAAAACATTATTACCTTTAAAGAAAATTTTCTAATAAAAACTTGGAACATTTTAGAAAGAGGGAAACCATCAAAAAATGTGTTGTCTTTTTTGTTGTATTTCTTTCTAGATAATTCTTTTAATGTCTTCTAAACATCAATTAAACCTGCACATTTTTACTTCTTTTTTTAGATTTACAAGTACAAGATATCCTATATAGTTAGGAACCATTTCTTTGCATTGCCAGCGTATATGTCTTTTTCCTTTTTCTGAATATTTGAGATCTCTTACACTGTGATTTCCCTTTTTTCATAATAGAAAAACAAAAAGAAACAGTAATAAATGTTTTAAATTTGAGCTACATTTGCAAACTTTTTTGTTGGAGATTTAACATTTCTTTTTCAACTTTGTTTAATTTATAAAATATCGTATACTTATATTTTAGAACAATAATCACGTGGTTTTTCCATTATGAAGGAACCACATGATTATTGTTTTGTTCTTAAAAAACGTTTTTCATATTTAGTTTTTACAAAATTTTCTTTTACATCTTATGGACAGAATGTTTCAAAATGTTCTTTGAGGTTTTTAAGAGGTTTATTTGAGTCTCTGTACTTATTAATGTTGTCTTTTTAGTGTGCTATCGTTTATAATATTTCTTATTAATGCATATATTTCATTTGATTTTAATATATTATATATTCATTTTTAAGAATTAGTATAAGGAGACCTTTAGTTAGCAATTTTTCACGATTGAACACCTGTATACACTTTTACACTTAATTTTTATATTAAATGGTTCTATATAATTCTTATTAAACAATTATTTTAAAAGATGCATTTATAAGGTTATCATGTCATGGGGAGGGCATTAACAAATTTAAATATGTATATTCCGTGTTTTGTCACCTACACCTAAAAAATCTTCAGGGGTCATGTTAACACTAACGAACGAATTAATATTCATTTTATATTCTTTAGGTTTGTACGCTTTATCTTTAAAAATGAATAGATATTTAGGTGTATTTCATAAACAATTGTCATCTAATTTTTTCTATGACTTAGATATTCGTTCGACAAAATTTCTGTATGTGAATCATTTACTTAGAATATTTTGAAAACTTAAACCAATTTCCCCTTTTCTCTTATTGTGCGTTATACTTTAAATGGTTAAAAATTACTTACCCCTTAATTACTGTGTTTATCATAAAACACTAATATGATAATAAAAAGACGAACAAAAATGGCATATCTTTGTAGTTATTACTCCGGTTGAATGAACCATATGAAAATTTACAATCATTACCAATCACTTATTGCAATGCCTTTCCATTATGACACAAATACTCTCCTTAAATGGATTAATAAATACATACACAGTGGAAAAAAACTGTTTAACAAAACAATTCTGTTATGCTCATTTCACGAAAAAGTTTATGATGGATGGACTGAAGTTGATAGAATTAAGAGAATAAACCATTTAAAGGTTACAGGAAGGACAAGACAATAGAAATAGATGTAAATTACAAATGCATTTTCTTTTTTTTTTGTTAATCTTAAAGAGCGCTTATTTTTAATAGTGAAAATTGCATAGAACAGCTATTAGTACTGTGCATAAAAGGTGTAACGGAAATGTGAACATTGACCTCTTTCTGATGGTTCTGGGTAAAGAAGAGAAGACTGCACGGAAAAAGCTCAATTTTGCCGAAATGCTATCATATCACGCCATGCATATGCAGTGATATTATATTATTTATCATCTTTATTAAGGGTAAATTCCCAAAGGTCTCCATTTTTTAAATGAGCACTTATTTATTAGTCACATTTTTAGTGACACTGTATAGACTTAAAATTTCAGCACATCAGTGTGCGTTTATTCAAGTGTCATCAAAATGATGTTTACTAATTACCAGATGACAAAACTTAAGTAACAACCTTATTGCGAAAATCATTTTCATGATATTTTTCCCGTTCATTTTTGAGGAAGCCTCGAGACAAAAAAAAGGATAATCTTATTTAAAAACATAGAAACGTGTTTATACGTGTTAGCGAAAACTTTACTTTTAGGTTCCTTTTATACACATATTTTGTGTTATTAATTTCACGATTTCAGAAAGAAATTAGGTATAACCCGTGTAACATGAAACAGAGCACAAAAAACATAGCAGTTGTTATTAGGTAAATAGTCAATGAGAGGGTTACGTAAGAACTTTCCCTAATCCTAATTTACAATTGCCGAAGGTAAATTTTTTTTCAGATATAATCCCTTTTTATATTATAAAGTGTACAAACCAAGTACACAATTAGGAGAAAAGTAAAAATTATGTGCAATGCAAATAAAATAGTATTTGTTTTTTTTCACTTTCATGAGAAATGGGATAATAATCTTCATGTAAAATTGCGTTATATGCTCATTACGCGAGAGATTATTTAAATAATATATTTTAATAAAAGGAAAAAAACAAAAAACGAATATAAATAGAGCATTTATCAGATGAACTCTATAGGATAGTGCAAAACTAAGAGCAATCTAAAAAATTAATATATTATGTACATTTCTGCAACAGCACATGAATATTTAACCACTGTATATAAATTTTTTGCATTGGATAGGAAGAAAACGTCTTCTTTAGCAGAATATAAACTGTTGTAAATTTTTTGGTGAGGGAAAAGTGTACACTCATGCTTGACAGCACTAGAGATGTTGTTTACTATACATCCGATGTTGTGATTTTTTTTTGCTTAAAAATGTTTCAGTTTTTGTGGATAGGAGAAAAGGAAATATTTAACAAAAAAAACATTTTTGTGTGTATATTTAATGAGATGAACTAAATTGAAAAATTCAATAATTTAAAAGATTTTTTCCTCGTGTGTTCATTCGCTTTTTCGCGTGCTAGTGCGCTGATGAACTCTTATTCTCTCGTGGAAAATTAAAAACAAGGAACAGAAATTACACACTCACTTCTATTGAGCCTTTCGAAATTATTTATAAACATCCTCATTATGTAAACCGTTCGTAATAATTCTTGTAAGATGAAGAGGAAAAAGTTCTTCACAATTTACCATTTTTAAGCAAAAAGAGCTAACGAAAGGGGTAGGAGGAAAGTTGTTTAAACTTCACACCTATACAATAGATGAGTAGGGGGGGTTATATTTAAAACGGGTTCGTGTAAAATGAAAATTTCCCGTTATATAGTTTCCCTATTAAAATAACAGATCTTAACAAAATTTTATTTTAAAGTTCGTGCAAGCGAAATAATATGTATGTGTAGGGCTCATTTTTTTTTTTTTTTTTTTTTTTTTCACACGGAGAATATATAAATTTATAAAAAAAAAATTTACAAAAAAAAAGCTAGCTAATTAAAAAAAAATATAAATTCACATTATATATATTCTTAAAGTTGAAAATTTTCTTTTTTTTTTTTTTTTGAAATGATCTAATTTTTTCCTTTCTTTTTTTTTGTAGATCTGTGTCCTTGATTTGATTCTACAGGCTTCTCTTTTTCTATTCACAAGTTATTTTCAATTATTCATAAAAAGAAAAAAACGTTTGGTGCCGTAAATATATTGTTTTAAAAAAAAAAAAAAAATCATCTTTTTTTGCGTTTTTTTTTGTCTTAAATTTGTTATCCTTATGTAAAGAATTTGCTGCATTTTAAAGTCTTATATGCGTACATGTATTTACTTACGTGAAACTATGTATATGTATATACCTTTCCGCGTAGATTTTAAGCGTTAATTAAAAATACACCAATTTGATAAGAGTGCTTAAGCGAATGGCCGCGCCTACATGTTTTTAGTTACTTTGTTTAAGTTCCTTTAAATGCCTACTTCTCAAATTTTAAAATAAAACCATTTTGTTATAATTCGCCCCTTTATTCATTCATTCATGCGTTCGTCCATCAGTCCTCCAACGCACCCAGTTGTTTATTTCACCCCCTTTTGCCGTTAAATTCTTTGCAAAATGCAGTATTATGGTTCAAGATACAGGAGAAAATTGATTTTTTATAACAAGCGTAAGGTGCTGTGGAAACAGCTTTCGAAGGTACCGAACATGCTGTTGGGAAAGAGGGGCTTGCGGAAAGCAGTCTTAAGGTTCAGAGAAATAAAGCGGGAACTTAAGTTCCTTTTCAAGTCTATATGTAGGGGTAACATCCGCAAGTTGTTAAACAGAGTTACAACCAAAATTATAAAATTGTGGGCGAAATGTGTAAATAATAGCAATGAAATCACAAAGCTGTGTAATGAGTACTACAAGATTAGTGGTGTAAAAATTCCCATTTGTGATTTCTTTTTTAAAAATAAAATGATCAGCACAAAAATGGAGAAGTACAGCATCGCAACACCACGTTATAAAAAAAACAAAAATAACGGAGTGACAAATAAAACAAGTAAAATGACACATGAAAGCATGTACTCGTCAAATCCAAATGATCATTATATAATTGATCTATATGATGAAACACACATACAAACACCATTCAATGGCTCTTTTCTTTCGAAGAATAATGATTCTACGTGCGAATCGAATTATAACATGACGGAGTCAAGTGATTGTGGAAGAACGAATGAAAATGAAGACTTAAACAGCAATTCATACTTAGATAATGACATGCCATCTTTACAAACCCTAGAATATGACGAAGACGAAGTGAATGAGAGCATAAAAAATTGCTATCTTTATAATGGGTATGTAAATGCAACTACGTATAAAAATTCCGAGGAATATAAATTTCTGAATCATCACTTAAATGAAGAAAGAAATAAATGTGCAGATATAGCAATTGATGTATCTCGACAAAGTTACTACGATGAGCATTTTGAAAGAGAAAAGGGCAAACGAGAGGCATGTAACGAAAGCGAACAGGAAAAAGATTCAGACCAAGAGAATGCAGAGATAAAACAGACACAGACAAAGAAACGAAAAAGAAAAAATAAAATATACGAAATTTATAACTCAGAAACAACAATGACTCAAAATGTGTATTGCGAAAATTACTTAAACGAGAACTACTCCTCTTCGTATGATTGCTCCAGCGAACACAGTGATGATGACATCAGCGCGAATGATTTTACGGACAGCGATTCTGATGATAATTACTTCGACGACATCTTCGAAAATGACTCTGTGTGTAACTACAGCGTACACAGTTATGAAGCTATCCAAAATGCTCAGGACGAATCAAGTTAAGACGGTCAAG